TCAACTGGTTTGATTTTATTTTGTCGGACGTTAAATTCAGAGCCCGGAATGTTGGTGGGAGGGCAGTGGCAGTGAAGATGGGGGCGGCGGGGGGCTAGTTTCCAGAGAACAATGAAAAATTAAGATAATCACATTGAAATTAGTGCGCTCCTCATGCTGGTTGTCACGGTGGTGGTCGTGGTCATGATCATGGTCGTTGAGGAGAAGGAGGAAGTTCACCAATCCCCTATCAGTTTCTGCCTATTTTTGGTGTATTGCTCGCGGTTGCCAACTCGTGATTGAAAGTCATTCAAATGAGGACTTAATTTAATGGAGGGGGGAGAATATTGGATTGTTCTTTTGTTTTATTTTGGGTGTTTTTTTAATTATCATTTCTGATTAAAGTAGATGGACAGGGGCAAAAAGACACTCAGGAACAACACGGTTTGATGGTGGTGGTCCACTGGAATTCTTTTGATTTGTATTCACTCAGTATTTTTCCCCTCGTCGAATTGTCATTCTTTCTTTACCATAAAAAAAACAATAGCAATATTTGTCTTATTTCATATTTGGTATTTGCACAAAGCTGTTGAGAACAGAACAAAAACAGTTCTCCTTTCAGTTTTTCGTGGTTACTGATCTCTCTGTCTCTCCCGCCGCAGTTAACAATAATATTTCTGTAGAGAATCGTAGCTATTTTCCATCGTTTAGAAAACCACTTTTCTTTTGTTGTGGTTAGAAAAACAAATGCTTATTACTGAAATGTCATCGGCAACTGCGGCCGTTCGCCCCCTCCTTCACCTCCGTGCTCTCACCCAACCAGTACCGAAAGGCATAACCGGTACAATTCGTCACTTTTTCACTGCTTCAGGTATGTACAGTGAACCACGATTTAAAGAGCGGAACGGAGGCCAATCCATGATTGACACATGAAACGGACCGGAAGTTGCCAGTTTCTATCATCTGAGCTGAGGATCAATGTATGGATGGGTTTTACATCCTTGACGGATGGTTTGTCGGTGCGCCATGCTTGGTATAGTTATCTGATTCGGGAATACTTTAACCACATCTGGAACACACACTGAAAACTGCACTAGCTTTTGCGAAATAACCAATCCACCTACTGTGGTTACGACTGATTGACTCAGTTATAGTTGAAATATACAGATCAAACACCCTGTATCGAGTAGGGTAGTTCCCTGTTGTCCTGCAAATGCGTTTTACTATAGGCCAAACTGGTAAATCACAGCAAATTAACTTGACTCAGTACATAACTCTTCGATCTCGGATCCGATGGGGTACTGTAGTGTTGGTGTCGATAGTGGTTGTGGAGGTGGTGGTGTGGCTGGTAGTGGTGGGGATCTGTAGCAGCTTAAAACTCATTCAATCTGTGTGACCGACTGTTCGGATTATCCCAGCTGGTGCTTTCATCCATCCCTCTGTTCTGCTGCTCCCTGAGGTTTTTCATCATTCACCCCAACACGCTCAGCTGCATATGATTACAACTTAAATGTGACATTTTGTCATAGCTCACCGCAATCTTTATCTATATCTAGATCAGACTAGACTACCCATATCAACATCCGATTTTCCTTCTCAGTCGGTTTTCTCTGATTTCCTACAGATTTATCAAGCCTTACACAACGGGATCGATGAGGAATTCAGGAATCATCATCATCATCATCATCATCATCATACTACTACTACTACTGCTACTACTACTACTACTACTGTGTACGATTTCGTCGATCATCTCCAAGTATTTGTAGGTTTGCAATTGCACAAACCCTCGCACAACAAGTGAATTTATTGGGTCAGAACGGGATGATGTAATTGGATTAGCAATTCCAACAGTTCCGCATTACAGTTACTTAACAAGGGTTTGAAAGAGGAAGTGAAATCAATTTTCTGTTTGGTTGTCTTGAGGTGTTCTGCAATTGACGACCCCCGGTAACTTGTGTCCACTTGACTACTGAGTGCGGTTTGCGTCATCGAAATCAACAAACATTTTAGAATGTGTTCGGTTATCCAGACTGATAATTGACGGTTGGTTCTGTCTCCGTATGCGTTGCGGCAACTGCAGATGAACTAGGATACAGTGTAAGAGATAGAAATAGATTGCTAATCGTGTATACGTTTGTCCAAATCCGTTAAACAAGCAGAGGTAATAGGTCGAAGTTGAACAACTGAGAATGTGCAATTCAGAGGTGACTTTTACTTTCAGGGCATATCGTTCAGAAGATAATCGCTCTTGAAAGATGTTTTGATGTAGACGGCTTTCTGCAGAACAAACAGTTGCGGATTGGTTACCTTTTTGCGATTGTTTACTATGGATCTTTCCTGTTAACCTTTTCGTGGCAACGACTTTTAGGAATTCTTCTTCCTGAGAGGGGGAGGGCATCTAAGGAACAAATGGTTCTGATTTGATTTGACAGAGTTTTTACGAGGACACGTTCGTAAGCTAGAACAGATAAGCCATGTTCTATCGGGCTAGAAATATTTTTTCCGAACCGTCACTGTTCCTTTAACTCCCTGTTCGCCCTGTTTCTGGTCTCATGAAAAAAGTGGAGAGTGAAATAGATTGTTGTATG